TTAGAGTCCGAGGTTTGCTTAGGAAGCAAAATTTGGGAGCTTAAGAGGCTTGTGGGGGTTCTAAAGCACTGAGCAAAACACCATGCTCTGGCAAGGGGTGGCGGTCAGAGTGTTGCAGTACCAAGGGCATGGCAGAGCCCACGTGGGCTTTGCCCCTGCGGGTCTGCTCTGCTGGGAGCTGGTGATCACCGGTCTCACCACAGGAGGACTAAAGGAAAATTGCTTGAAATCTTCTCATCACATTAGGGAAGGCAGATGATAGAGGGATTTTTTGGACCTTTGGGGAGCACAGGGATGGTTTTGTCAGCAGCAAGTCCTGGCCATAGGACTTTGACCACTGTTGCAAACACTGCTGCCTTCCCTGCCTGTCCCCCTGAGGCCGACAAGGGTGGAGGATGCAGCGCTGAGCAGGGTGTTTGGACAGGTCACACACCTGAGGGATGGCAGAAGGCCACCATTCCCTAGTACACCATGTCCACAGAAGACAAAGCACCACTTTTCCATGCTATTAACCACAGAAGCATGGAAAGGATGAGCTGGCAGGGCTTTTATCACTGCTCTTGGGCAGCTGGAGTCACTACCAAGACCCACGTGGATCTGCACTGCAGGATGGAGAGAAGTTGGTCCGTGTACCAGAGAGCATCAAGGGAGCAAGGAGAACAGGGAGACCACATCAGGCCATGACAAGGGGCCAAGCAAGTAGGTCTCCCCTCTCTAAGTATGTCTTGCCCCTACTTCGAGACACAGCTCCTCCCCAGGCAGCAGGTTCCCAGGGCCCAGAACTGAGCAGTGTGCCCTGTTGGCCAAGCAAAATGCTCTTTGCTCAACTACGCTGCACCTAAGGGAGGTGTTTTTCTGTGGCATTGAGGTCTATATTTATTTATATAGACTTTGGTTACCAAGAGCAATGTGGTGGGAAATAATCTGTGTATGCATCCATCTGTCTGCCCATCCACCCGTCTGTCTGTCCACTGAGGTTCAGCTGTCCGAGCTCCTGTGATCTCTCATGAGTGAAGCTGGCTGGATGACATGGAAAAAGAGCATTGAGTTTTCTGTAGTATTCTCACATTTTGCTTCTTTCCTTGGCCAAATTCCGTGTTTTCCATGAAAAATGTCCATTGGTGTTTTGAAATGAGAAAAATTTCAACCAGCTGCAAAATTCAGTCCCAGAGCAGGGGGAAACTTGCAAACTTGGCGTCTCTTTCAGCTGCCTTTGAATCTCAAATGTTTTGCCCCAGATGGATCCTAAGAAAAGGTCTGTTAAAAAAAAGCACTAATGCAAGATGTGCATGGTCGTTCTGGCCCTTCCCACGTGGGGACGAGGCATCCGCTGCCTGGAGCAGCCGGTCCTGGCACGGCGTTTCTCAGCACACGCCTGAGCTCAGCCAGCTGCTGCGCTGCACAGGGCGGGCGAGAGCTGTGCTCTAGGAAACAGGAGTGCCCCAGACTGTGCCGAAGTCTTTTCAGATCCTTTGCTGAATGAATATTTTTTTTCTTGAAGAGTTTTTTGGGAAAATGTACACCTTTGGCAAGACAACTTTGCACTGCAGCACCTCCCGCCCTTGCAAAGCCTATGGCTGCTGGCTGTGGCCACCAGGACAGTGTGACATCCTGTACTGCCACCCAAGTCCCCCTGTCCTGTGTCACCCATGGGCTCTGGCAGCACCCTGCGGTGACAAGGACTCCCCACCACCAAAGGGGTGGCTGGGGCTGTGTAGGTGCAGGTGGATGTGGAGGTGCCCCAGCACAGCTTCAGCCTGCCAGAGCTTGTGCCAACCAACATCCCACTGCATCAACGCAGGCGGCAAGGCAACTCCTTGCTTGACTGCTAATTATCCCTTTCTTTTCCCCCTTAAATTAGCTTTGAAAGCAGTTAAGCCTACTGGAAATTTGGCTTGATTGCTCTTTCTTTTAACTGTAGCTTTGTTTAAATGTTAGTGTTATGGACAGCAATGAAATGTAATTACATAAGCCATTAATGAGGATATAAAAACAATACCTAAATAAAATAAACAGCAAGTAATATCATTAATGTTTCTGTTTTTTTCAGTTACAGCTCTTGGAGAGTCATGATGGGAAGTGAAAGAGTTTTTCCAGCTATTTAATCTCTGTGGCTGTGAAACCTGCAGGTTTGGGGTAACTGCAGATGCTTGAGCTGCCTGAGAAGTAGAGGTGGGTGGGGGCTTGGGGAGAGCCCCTCACTTGCCTGATCCGTCCTGTGAGTACAAGGAAGCCAGCTGGAGGCTGGTGACCCTGTCTTGGTAAAGGGGCAGAGCTCTTTGGCGTCTGCCATCCCCGTTGTACTCAGATGGGTGGACAACTGCAGAGCCCAGCCTGGGGACCACCATGGGCCATGACCCATCGGTCCCTGGGGATGCACAGAGCCAGCCCCATGGCATCCCCCAGCCCACTTATGTCCGGCCCCTAACTTCAGAGTGGGGGGTGATAGGAGAGAGAAACCGTTTGGCAAAGCCCTCCGGCTTCACAGCCCACATGCAAACTGCATGTGCATGCAAAGAAGACGCAGAAATTAGGCAGTTGGTACTTATTAGACTTGTGTTATTAAAAATAATAACAAAGTAATAATAAACTCCCAAAACGTACATATCATACATGTTACACTATGGTCCATAGCATTCATTGGCTTTTCTTTTTACATATTTCACAGATGCCACCACGTTGCAGGGCCAGAGTCCCTCTGCATGGGCAGCCTTGGGATGGTATTTACATGATACATGTCCCAGCAGCACCCAAGGCCCAGGGCACCCCAAGAAGCACAGCAGAGCCCACCCCCAGATCTGCACAAGGTGACTCACAAAGGATCCCACCAGCGCTCTGGATCTGCCCCATCCAGTCATGCATTTAGTTTATAAAACAAAGAGAAAAAGAAGATGAAAAGGCACATGGATGCATGTGGGGATTTAAATATGCACCTGGGAGCAGCTCCATGTCTAAATCCCCTGTCAGCATTGCTTCTCCCAGAAAACCTAAAGCAGCAGGGGTTGAGCACAGCTTGTCAGGCTGGGTTCCCCAGTTGGAGTTGTCCCCTCTGCACGTGGGGATGCTTTTGGTTGCATTTGGTCCCTGGCTTTGGCTAAATGGAGACATAAAGAGTTACAGTGGTGTGGGGTTGTGCAGTGCAGGGGCCGTGCAAGGCTTGCATAAAGCCTGGATGCCATTCACCAGCCCTCCCTGCAAAGGGCCTCCTTCCCCAGTGAGCTGCCTGCACAGCAAGTGGGGCATGGAAAGGCACAGCCAGAAGAGACGACTCAGCACCATCCCTGTGAGGATGGCAGAGCAGCCCTCCCCCAAACTCTGCCTGTGGTAGCGTCTGCACCAAGCCCTGTCCCGAGCTGCAGCACAGGACAAGTAGCATCTTTGTGCAGTCCCATGGTGCCTTCACCACTGTCCTTGGCACCCCAGCACCAGCTCAGGGTGACCCAGCCCTGGTGTCCCAGGGACAGCTGAACCCATGTGCATGGGTTTCCAGCTGGCTGTGTCATGCAGATGGAGAGGAAGAAGAAAGATTAATTCTTGTTTTGGACTTTGAGGTGACACAAGCAGGGGATGGCAGGAAAATGTCTTCCAGGCAACAGCCTTAGTGAAGGTGCAGAGTGGACTGCTCCAGTCCTTTGGCCAGGATTTTAGGACATCCCCCCAACCAAAGAGGGAGAGCTCCTCTCCTCAGCCACAGCCCATGGGGTATGTGGTTGTCCTGCCCCCATGCATCTGATCTGCCCCAGAAAGATGCCCACATGCACTGGGTCACCAGCTGGGAGCCATCTCTCCTTGTCAGCAGTCCCAGATGGCAGAGTAGAAACAAGAGGGAAGAGCCATCTGGGAGGATAAATCAAGAACTTCAGCCAACAACACCAAAGTCCTCAAAGAGTTTTAGGTGCCCCTCCTCAAGGGAGGAGTAAGCAGGTGCCAAAGGAAACCCTGGAGCCTCCTGCCCCAACAGGCTGTGCAGAGTGCTTTTTGGGGAGCACAGACACATCACGTCTTTCCTGAAGACCATACTTGCTTAGAGAAAGCACACACCTTCCATAGCCCTGCCCTAATGAGCATCCACGTTCATGGAGAGTGGTGCTGCCCTGCTCTTCCATGAGCTGCAACTGCTGAGAAGAGGGCCAGCAAGCTCCCACACCCTATGGGGTGATGCTGAGCAGCCTCTGGGGCCAAGGGGATGACCCCAGTGGGCATCCCTGCCATGCACAACCGAAGGATGTTCCACCACCGATTCTTGCATGAGGACTGCTGGGTGCATGCGGTTGGAGTGAGCTTGGGACATGGGCAGCAGCTCTGCTTCTTGGGCTTCTTGGTGCGGACAGACATGGGAGGAAGAAGAGGGCTGGCTGGCCCACGTACTTCAAGGGCTGTCTCATGGCAGACACTGATAGCCTATGACAACCAGAACAAGAAGAACCAGGGATGGGAGTGTCCACTCAGCCCAACTGGAGGACAGAAGGGAGCTTCTGTGTCAGGAGTGTGGCACAGGACCAGCTCATCCAAGCCCAAGCGGTCCCACATACCCTTTTCCCCTCAGCTTCTGGCCTCCCTGCAGCTATCCCTGTATAGGCACCCCAGCATCCATGGGACCTGAAAGATGGCACTGCAGGCCCTCTGTATATCTGAAAAACCACTCCTAGCATCTCCAACAGCTTCACCAATGCACCAAGCTCCCCAAACAGGGCACCTGCATGTCCACACAGACATCCCCCACTGCCTTGATCCTCACTCCCCAAAGTCCTGTCCTGAACCCCAACAGTGCTTCACCAGTCTCTTCAGCTGCAGGCTCCAGCACCACCCTGGGATGCTGGAGCCCAGAAGTCCCAGACCACCCATGGGATGGGGAGCCCACACAAGCTGCTGTGGGCTCAAAAGGGCAAAGTATCATCCAAAAGTAAGGAAGACTGATGTAGGCTACAGTACCTTGCTGAGCCATTCAATAAGCAAGGCAAGTTTTAGAGGGAAAGGAGTATCTATTGTCAGAGCACCTATTATTTCTATTCATATTTATTATGCCAAGACTGCTACAATCTCAACATGGGAAGATACTGATGTCTGTTTGAACTGGAGACTAATACATGGTGAAGAAGATATAAAAGACTAGAGGTGGGTCAACGAAAGCTCTTCTCTCTTCCTGCCACCTCTGCTTTGTGCATCTCCTCAGACAACCTTGGCCACACAGCAATACTTCCCAGGAGGGCATGTAGTCAGGCCAGCTCTGAAGGATGCACACCAAGGCAGACAGTCACTTGGTGTCAGCTCAACAGAAACAGGTGGAATTATGTCAGTTGGTACCAGCTGAGAATATAGGGACATAGACATGGGTGGATGGACGATGATACAGGATGGCTCCAGTCAGCCTGTCTGCTCCACCCTAGGTGCTGCTGGCAGGACAGGCCTTGGTGGACATGGGAGGGGGAAATGGGTGTCTCCAGGTCTTTTCCACTGGGTCACCTGGACTATGCACCAGGATTGGTAATGGCCAGGGTGCTGTGAAGTCTGGTGCTTTCTCCCTGATGGACACAGCTCTGCCTGGTAGTGGCCGCCAATACACTGCCAGGGCCTGACTCCTCTCCACAACATGGGTCCTGCCCCATGAGGCAGTGCTGGTCTGTGCAAACCCGAGGTCACCAGAGAATCAGGCCTTGAAAAAGTTTGTTTGTTCTTCCTAGTCCCTCTGAAGTACTGGATGGTTTCCACTCAGCCTGCCCGCATGCACTTTGGGATGAAGGACAGAAGACTCTGATCTCCTGTTCCCAGTGGGTAAGGAGAAGGGCAGAGAGGTCTGACAGCAGCACATTTTCAGAGAGTGAGGAAGATGCCCTGGATGCTGGAGAAAGGAGAGCTGCCAACTCAGATGTCAATACCTGGCAGAAGACTTTGTTAAAGGTAAAAGAAAAGCCTAGAAAACAAGTATTACAAACAGCATGCCCGGAGCAGGACACCAATCCCCTTCAAGCTCCTTCAGGCGACAGGCACCCACAGGATCTCGGTCCGCTTTGCTCCTCATTAAAGGTTTGTCATTACTGTGTTATTTTTAATACACACTTAGAGAAAAAGACCCACATGCACACCCATGTGCGTACACACACACACACACAAAGGGAAACCATTGCCAAAATATACACTATAGACAAAAGAGTCCATTCACACTATATATATGTACAGAGTCTCTGGGCGTAGTCTGGTAACGCACAGCCGGGCTGGGGCTGAGCACAGGGTGGGATGGGATGGGCGGAAGCCCCTCAGGGCTTCACACATTTCCCCTTCTTTTCCCGTCGCTGCAGTTTCCGAAGGCGGCGTGTCCAGGCGTCCCGCCACTGGATGACCAGGCTGTTTTTGTCAGCCATCAGTCCTGGCCGGTCAGTGGAGTTTTCACTGATACCCATAACCAAGTACTTCTTGCTAATCTGGATCTTGGGGCACTTGCAGGACAGGTCTTTCAAGTGGATCCACAAGAAGTTGTCACCACGCTTGACCCGCTCATCACGGCACTTGTAGACAGAGAGGATGTTGATGGTGAACTTGGCCCAGTTGGCCACTGTCTCCATTTCCAGAATGTTCACCTGGACCACTGAGGGAAAAGAGGGGAGGCATGGTGATGGGGGATGTTTTGCCTTGCTCCTCAAAGGAAGCTTTGGCAAAGGGAACTGCCCGTCCCCAGCAGCCCCACCTGCCTCATCCAATGCACCTTTGGTAGGGCTGATTTGGGACCTCTGTCCATGCTGGGTGCTCCCCATCCCCTGGGACATCTGCATCTCCCCCACCCATGGCTTGCCTGTGGCCAACCTGTGGCTGCCTCTTCAGCAAAGCCCAGTATGGCCCAGGGAGGTCCTTACCATAGTCCTTCTTGCAATACTTCTTCATGTTAATCTTGTAGTTGCCCTTGGCTGGCTTACAGTAGGAGTCACAATCTGCAAAGGAAGAATAGAGGGTTGAGCACTGAGGGGCCTGAAGCGTGTTGGGTCCTGTCCCACCATAAGGGAACAGGGTCGAGGCCACAACAGCAAGACCCACATCCCAGCACCCTGCAGAAGGCTCCTGAGCCAGGGCCTAGGCTGCTGCTGGGGATGGGGATCCAGCAAGTTCAGCTGCCACCCTGGCAACTCACAGGGGCTGGGTGCTCAACTCCCAGCATGAACACTGACACCACATCAGCTGGGAAGAGAAACCAAGTACTTAGAGCCCATCAAGCAGACTGTGTCACCTCCTGTGCTGGCGGTGATGGTGTCGGGCAGGATAAATCAGCACAGGGGTGGTGGAGGGAGCCTGGGGACTCTCCTCTGGGATGCAAAAGGGGATGAATGGGAGAAATGCAGATGAGGTGATAGCGACCACTATGGAGAGTAGGCAGCAGCCATGGCCAAGAAGAGTCAACCAGAACAGCTGTGGCCCTGCAGATCTGGGTGACATGGGGAAAAGACAACTCATCATCAACCCCACCATTGGTCCTGCAGAGAGGGGACCTAAAGGAAGGTCTGACCTCAGGTCAAGGGGGTTGTGAACCTGAGGGGCTTCTCAGCCCTCAGGGGCCATGGTTGTAGGAAGCATCCTCATGGGGCAGCCCCTCCAGAGACCTGTGCCTCACTAGTGTCCCAGAAGATGGGAAGGGGACTCAGGCCAAGGGGATCAGGTGGGTGAGGGAAGCAGCTCTGCTCCACCAAGTTGCTCCTGCTGCCCAAGCATCCCCTGCTCAGGCTGCTCCAGAATGGCTATCCTCCACCCCACACAGCAACCCTCCCTCAAGGAAGCTTTTTTCTGCGCATTTCTAAAGACCCCAGATTTGCATCTCAAGCAGAGGGAGGGCAGGGAATGCCTCTTTCCTTTTCCCCAAAGGCTTTGATCCCAACAATTGCCTAAAGCAGCCCCGTTCTCCTCCTTTCTTTCCCTTGCCATCTTCCTTTGAACATCTCAATTTGTCTCTTTCCAAATGGCATGTTTTTTCTAAGCCCATCTTTCTTCTTTTCTCTCCCTCTTGTAGGTTCTCTCTCCAGCTTGGCCCCGCATCCCAGGACAGAGCCAGCAGTCCCTGAAGTTGTCTTTGTTTGTGGGTTGCCACAGCAATCACTGGGGATGGAGGCGTGGGTCTGGGGAAAGACAGGGAAATAACAGAGCCCTGTGCCAAGGGGAGGAGGAGAAAAGAGGAAAGAAAGAAGCCCAGAAGCACAAACTCACCCTGGGCTCTGCTGATCTCCTTTCTGCCTGGCTTCTTTTTATCAGGGACTGTGTGTTGCCTGTTCCAAATTTGTCATCGATAGAAGCGGCACAGCATGAAGCTAATTCTTGGCAGAGGGGCATGAGCTCTGATTCTCGGCTCAGCCCCGCTCTGCTGCTGTGCTGCCCCTCTGCCTGGGCTGGCAGAGATGCCCTGGCCCCACTGCATCCCCACACTGGTGGCTACAGAGGGGGCAGGGTACCCCCATGTTGGGTAGATGCTGAGTGCTCTGAAGCGCTTGGCTGAAGGGTTTAAGGTGTCTCCATCCACTGCATTCCTGGGATGTGCTACAGCCTCTGGACACCACTGCACCCCTGGGGTGAGCTACAGCCCTACCCCGGACACCACTGCACCCCTGGGGTGAGCTACAGCCCCACCCCGGACACTGCGGCATCCCCTGGGACATGCTACAGTCCTGCCCCTGACATTCTGCTCTATCTTTTCTTGCTACTTGAAGAGGACTCCAAAAGAGAGCTCCTGCCTTATTTTGAGGAGAGCCTGGCAGGACAGGTGCTATTTTCCCCACCAAAAAGAGTGAAGGAGACTGTCTGTGTGTCCAAGCAACTGCCCTTGTATGGGGGGCTACCAGGTACTTTTTGGGGATGGGTGCAGGGTGTGCCCCTCCACACCCACTGCAGGATCCAGCCTCAGTCCCAGCCCTGTGTGAAGCTCTGGTGAAGATGCAGGACCGTGTGGGTTTGCGGTGCCCCCACTGCTGGGAGCCATGCCACTGCACCACACCATGCAGGGCCTGGTGGCAAAAGGAGGTGGTCAGGGGGCATGGAAACCATCCTGCAGTTGGCATTGGTTGTGGCTCTGCCATGGGCCTGCCACAGAGGAGGAGGGTGGCATGAACCAGGGTGTCTGGCAGGAGGATGGCCAGGGTGGCCGCTGCGTGGTGGCAAGGCCACACCGGTGCTGAGCCTATGGGTGGCGGGGTGATGGGTGGTGGGACCAGGCTGCAGGGCAGTCTTGGCCAACCTGCATCCACCCTGCTCAGCGATGGGGAAGAAAGAGAAGTAAGAAAAGCAGAAGGAAAACCAGTAATTGCCCTGGGCTCCTGCTCATGATTCATATCATAAAACTGATTCCAAAGAGTCAGAAGGTAGTGTTGGGAATTAACAATTTGGGGTTGGTTTGGGGATTTTTTTAACCTTGGCTTTGTGCTGAGAAACATTCCTCAAATATAAAATCAATTCCTGTTCAATTTATGTAAGAAACTTGGGAAGACAAAAAAAAGACCCAGTAACTCAAAGTGTTTCCCCTCCTTGTCTTTGAGCATGTGGCCTCCACCACTGCACACGGGGAGGGTGCAGGTGCTGTGGTGGGAGAAATGGCCAGGTGAGGGTGCCAGGACTGCCACCCAGCTCAGCCTTCACCCAGGGGGACGGCTGCGTCCTGCCTCACCTCCACAAACCACCTCTTGCTGAGCACCTACTCCTGTCCCCACAGGGTTCCCCCACAGAAGGGTTCTACTCATGGTCTCAGCCCCCCACCCCTCACTGTGGCACAGCTATGGACCATGGCTCCATCCTCCCATGCCTGCCAGGATGCCATGTGCTGGGTGGTGGCTCTTCCCACAGGCAGGCCCCAGGGAGCCTGGTTGTGGCTCCACCTGCTCTGCCAGCCCAGCTGGGCAGCACGCTCTCTGTTCACCCCACAAAACCATCAGCAGAGGCCGGATGGCCATCAGAGAAGCCGCTTCACAACTATCTCTTCCCTGGCAGCTCCCAGAGCATTCCCCACCTTCCCAGCTCCCTTTTAAACCTCTCAGACGTGGTGCTACACATGCTGCAGGGTAGTGAAAAGATCAAGTTTAGCCTCTGCACGCAGCCACCCTCCTGCTCCCCGCTCTTGCCATGTCTATGCAGCCTGACAGGGCAGCCAAGCCCTGTGGAGGGGCTGGGGGATGGCAGAGACCTGTGACAATCCGAAGCTGTGAAAGTACACCCACAAACCCTGAGATGATGCTGCATCCCCTGGGACATGCTACAGTCTATCCATGACACTGATGCATCCCTGGGATATGCTGCAGCCCTACCCGGGACAGTGCTTGCTCCCGCTGGTGTCCCAGGGCAGCTCTTGGCCCACCTTGCCCCACTACGGCCTAGGCAGCCCCAGACTCCCCCCTCGGCCATCTCTCACCAGTGCCACCATAAAGCTTCCCTGGACCGACTGGGTGACTTCCATCAGCGGGAGACTCGGCAAGTGCTGGGACCCTCCATGGACACCAGGGGGGACAGCTGCCACAGAATCACTGCCTGCTGATGCCAGCCTGGCACTGGCCTGTGGTGTGGGCAGTAGCACCGTAGGAATGGGCAATGTCTCTGCTGCCAGGGGGAACCGGCACGTGGGCTGGATGGGCAGCACGGGGCAAGCACCGGGTGAAGCTGCTGGAGGGGCCGGCTGGAGAGCCACTGGCCCGGCACTGGCATCCCCCGTCTCTGTGGGGGGAGCATGTGTGAGAGGCGGCAAGTTTGCACATCTGGTTTACTTCTCCTCGCCTTGAAAAAAAAGAGAAGGAATATTTTGTTTTAAGAGAGATGTAACTTAATTAGGTGTTATGGCTGCAAATCTTTTACTGCTGACTTTGAATTCCTTTAAAGCCCTGTTTTGTGCTCCACAAGTTTTGTTAATTCTGCTAACGGGGAACAAGGATTTTTTTTTTTCCACTAAGTGGAAAATATTTTAAGATAATAATAATAAAAATTACAAGAAGTGGACCCAGGACATTTCACTGCTGAGCCAGTTGGCTGCTTGGGCAGAGACATCAAAGCTGGACCTCAAAGGCTCCAGAGGGTCAGAAAGGCATAAGAAAGCTGGGAAGAGAGATGCAGAGGATGGCAACATCAGCAAAAAGCCCGGATGCACCCGGGGAGAGGACCCCAGCAGGACTGAAGATGGAGCGAGGGGGGGAAGCCCAGCACCTGAGCACCGCGGCCCAAAACAATATCCCCCTGTTCCCACAGCCTGGCACCTGCTGGCAGAGGCAGGGAGGAAGGTGGGGAAATGAGTGGAGAAGGGTCTCAGAGGCTGCCTGGTGTGGGAGAACTGTGGGCTGAGAGCCCCCTCAGGGAGTGCCCTGCCTGTGGAAGAATCTGGAGGTTCCTAGGGGAGAGTGCAGGCAGTGGGGCAGGGTGCAGGCAGGTGCAGGCAGGTGCAGGCAGCAGCCAGGGTGCAGCGCTGTGTCCAGCCTTGCCTGCAGCACAAGCATGTTGGAGGCAAGGTACCCCAGGCAGCGCTGGGCAGGGCAGGATCACCTGTCCCATCTCTAATCCCCCCCAGCAAATGGGGCAGCAGGACCCCAAACAGGTCCCCTCTCCCCAGGTGCAGACTCTGAGCAGAGGCGAGCTACTTTGCATTAAAGATATTCAAGCTAGAAGCCAGAAATCTTAAAACAACAAACCCACAGATAAAACTAGAGGCAGTTTAAGGCAGAGCTGCTCTGTTAAAACAAAGTAAACACCCGGGTCTCCAGCGAGTGCCATTTATTTTTACACAGCTGAAAATATCAGACATCACTCTAAGACTGTTCCTATTTATAAAGCACTGGAGGGGAGTCACCTTGATTAACTCTGCTCCATGTGTCACTCTCTGTTTGCAATAAAACCATTCAAATCCCCCTTTCCCCTCCCCTTTTTTTCCTCTTCACAAAGCCTGGTATTCCCAGCTCCCTCCCTCACAACAGGTAGTTGCCCTACTGGCAGGGCAGGCAGGAGTAGAGGTGGTGGTGGTCTGCCCTGCCCCGTGCAGCCTCCCCAGCGGTGTCACCATCACAGACAGCTCAGCTATTATGTTCGTCCCATTATGCAAGACCTGCACGGCACCACGGGTGACTCTCCTCCGCTGCCACAGCGTGAAGCAAAACCTCTGCCAGCTCCACACAGGGCTGCTCAACTCACATCCTGATAACAACTCCCGTTTCTCAGAGCCTCTGCAGAGCCGGGCTGGGAGGGCTGAAACATGCCTGTGGGTGCTGGGTGGGCGCTGGGCTCTGCATCAGTGTGTGATCTGTGTGCGTACGGGGGCCAGCACTGCTCTGTGAGGAGCCGAGCTACCAGCGTCCTCCCACACGCCTTGCTCCTCCATCCCCATCCACACACACTACTCCTCCCATACCTCCATACCTTTAACACCCCTTGTTCCAGTTCCCCTCGAGGCTGCAGGGGCCATGCTGGAAGATATTCCCAAAAGGCTGAGAAGCACATCACAGGCATGCACCAGCCTGTGAAGGGGCTGTTGGCATTTTGCACCCCGCAAGGTGGGGTGGCTGTGAGAAGGAGAGCTGGGGAGAAGGGTGCATGCCGGGCACTGGGTCTCCAAAGAGCATGCAGGCTCCCTCAGGACAGCTGTACCCCAAACACAGCATGGGGAAGCTCCTCATTAAACATGGGCATGGGGAGCTGGAGGTTCCCCTGCTCTCTTCCCAGGATCATATACCATGGGATGGAGCGGAGAACGGTGCAGGATGTCTATTCCACATGTGGGAAAAGACCAAGGTCTGGGGGACTACAGGGTGAAGGGTGGCCCAAGGAGGAAAAAGGCTGCTACTTTCCCTAGCTTCTGCCCCTTGATCTGGCTTGGGATCCCTACAGATAGGTGGTGGGATGGCTAGAAACAGCCACACTATGGTGCTGACAGGACTGCAAGAGAGGGAGGAGAGAAAGAAAGGTCAAGGGAGGTGATTCTTGCCCTCTTGTGAGCCCCCTCTGCAGGGTTGGGTCCAGCTCTGGGGGCACCAACATCAGAAGGACATGGACCTGCCCGAGTGGGGCCAGAGGAGGCCACAGAGATGATCAGGGGCTGGAGCACCCCCCTGTGAGGACAGGCTGAGAGAGTTGGGGGGTTCAGCTGGAGAAAGAGCGGCCTCCCAGTGCTTAAAGGGGCTACAGGAAAGATGGGGAGGGACTCTTGATCAGGGGGGTATAGGGATAGGACAAGGGGTAATGGTTTTAAACTGAAAGAGGGCAGATTTAGATTAGATACTAGGAAGAAATTCTTCCCTGTGAGGGTGGTGAGGCCCTGGCACAGGTTGCCCAGAGAAGCTGTGGCTGCCCCTTCCCTGGAAGGGTTCAAGGTCAGGTTGGACGGGGCTTTGGGGAACCTGGGCTAGTTGAAGCTGTCCCTGCCCATGGCAGGGGGGTCAGAACTAGATGATCTTTAAGGTCTCTTCCAACTCAAACCAGTCTATGATTCTATGATTCTATGAAAAGCCCTGCTACAGCCCCCTCTGATACACAGCTCTGTGTGCCTCTGAAGACCTGGCCTGGCACCAGCACAGCCCACCCGCTCTCACCACTGGTGACCACCACGCAGGGCACAGAGGTGCCAGGAAGACAGATGAGATGGCAGGGGCCGGCTGACAGAAGAGGGGTGGTTGGGGAGGAGATGCAAAGCAGCTACTCTACCTGTCTGCCATGGCATCTGCTGGGCCACATCCTGCAGTGCCGGGGAGGGCTCAGAGTGGCAGCGGGTCTGGTGCTGGCACCATGTGGTGCTGTTGGCATGTGCTGTGTCAGGGTGAGACCTGAGGGCACCTCGGCAGCTGTGGCTGGGCTGAAAGAGGGGCTCTAACTCCCCAGTGCAGGCAGCACCCATGCACCCACCAGTGCCCAGCCCTAGCCAAACCTCTGCAAGAGCACAAGCAAACTTGCAGCACGTGTGGAGGTGTGAGAAAGGCAGGGTGGCTCTTGAGGCACTTTAAGGGCAGCAGCAGAAATGCCTCCCTCGCCCATGCAAAGCCTGCAGCCTGCTGCCAGAGCTGCCCCCTCTCCCACTGGGTGACAGCAACAGTGACATTGATCCTCCCATGGCCCCACGGCCCCTGCAGCCCACAGAGGCAGGACAGGTAGCTCCGACCCAGACACTTCACTCCTCCAGACCTGGATGGGGTGAGCCCCGTGTCACCCATGTCCCAGGGGAGACCTCGCAGCCTATGCCCCAGAACAGGGGCTCCTGAGCCTGCCTGCAGCCTGACAGACCCCGCCACCCTGGCACTGCTCAGGGAGCCATGGCCCTGTGGAGGTAAAAGGCACTGAGGAGAACCTCTTGCACTGGCACCGATAAAAAAGAGATTAAAAAAATCCAGCCCCCAAGCACCCACTGAGCCATAGGCTACATTCCTGCTTTCCTCCCCAGAGGGGATGGAGAAACTTTCCCTGAGAAAGTCCTGTCAATCTTTGTTGGTTTCTTTCCAGAAATACATAGGATTTCAAATCTCAGTTATTTTTTTCATCAAAACTGTTCACCAAAACTTTTTGCCATTAATCTTTTTGCCAAAGGAAAAAAGATTACACCTTGGTGTGCTGGGGAGAGGGGAGGTGGGATGGGATGTGTCTGGGCAGGGCTGGGGCTGTGGGCTTGGCCCAGGATGTGGAGCACTTACCTGCAGGCGCTTCCGTGCTGGTCACCAGGGAGGTGGGATTGATGGCAGGGATCTCTGGAAGAGAAAGGGAGACATGTCTTAAGGAAAGATGTCCCCAGCCCTGGGGGTGACACCCGGACAAAAGCCCTCCACAAGCACGGCGCAGAGGGGATTTTGTGGGTCACTTCTGGCAGCTCGCTAAGAAAGATGGATGGGATGAATCTGATCTGAATATCACAGGCCATTTAATAGACCCAGAAATGCCCAAATGCTCTGAAATGCTCAGTAAATTGGGACAGGCTGAGACGCTGCAACTGCCAAGAAGCATAAGTCACTGCTGCAGAGGACACGTGCTCCAGGGATAGACAGATGAACAGATGTTCAGCTGATCTGAGCATGCTCCACCCTGCACAGCACAGGGATAAGCACGGGCAAAGACAACACTTTCTCAGGACTCCTGGAAATAAGGTCTGGGGAAAATTCTGTCCTAACCCCAAATCTGGGGAACAACAGAGGGAGAGGAGCGAGCCTTGCCAACTCACCCCCACTGCCCCTGTTCCAGCAGTGCCAGCAGATGCTGCAGGGCAGCAAGTTATTCCTCTGCTGCTTGGGACAAATTCAGACCCACAATAACAATAAAGATGGTTTTACACTGATCTGACCTTGCCCCAGACCTGACCACACCCAGGGCTCAGTGGGGTGAGGAAGGCACCTTGCTGCAGCTGAAGGGACGTCCTAGCACAGCTGTTTCAGCCAGCTGGAAGCACTAACCCAAGGGGTCGTTCAGCGTCTCCCGGGCTGAGGGGCAAAGCATGGGTGTCCCCAAAAGGTTAGACCTGCTTTGACCACCTCCTGGACCAAAACCACATGGATGGGCAGCCTCTTGGCTCAGCCCCTCACCCACCACCAGCCAGCCCAAGGACAGCATCCCGTTGTGCTGGTGGGGGTCCCCGAGCTCAGGGCAGGGCATGGTGGCACTCACTGATGCAGGGGGCCACCGGAGAGCGGCTCTGCTGGTAGCCCTTAGCACAGCGGTTGCAGGTGAGGCCGGTCACGCCATCCTTGCACGGGCACTGCCCAGTCGTTTGGTTGCAGGTCTTGCCAGCTGCGCCAACGGGGTGGCAGTCACAGGCTGGGTGAGAGAGAAAAGGTTACAGGAGAGGTGATGCACAATGCAAACCCCAGACTGGACCCAACATATCACCCCTGGAAAGGTGAGGAGGTGGGTCCTTCCAACATACCAGTGAAAAGCAGCTGCTGGAGCCAGCACAGCCAAGGCCCACCCATGATCCCACGTGTGCTGCAAGCAGCATGGGCAGGAGGGAGAGTGGGTGAAGGGCTTGGCCAGGGTAGGGCCTCCACTGATGGGGATGCTCAGGATGAGCCCCTGGAGACCCTACAGCTCACACCTGCAAGCTGGAATTTAAGGTCTGGACACCAGAAGAAGAGTTTCTTCCTACCTGCTTTTCAGGCAGCTGCTCTGGGGACAGCCTGGCATGCATGCAGGCAGGAGAAGAGGCAGTCCCACACCAGCTGCCAGCCTTGTCCCGTGCAAGCAAAGGGAGCAGGGCTCACATGGGTATGGCCAAACCTTTCTTCATTGCCAGGGTGGGACTGGGGGCACTTCAGGGACATAAAGTGGACAGATACATGCCCAGATCTGCTCTTCCTCCCCCCAAACCCAGGGTGGTGCTCCTGTTGCAGCAGTAAAAGGCATTTTCTCCACTTGCTCCCCTACTTCTGAGCTTTGCAGCCCACAGAGCTGCACCAACACTGAGCTTTTTACACAAACTTTGGACTTGTTCTTGTTTTAGGATGGTCTAAAGTGGATATTCTTGATTGCTTCCCAAGCTCATGAGCCTCAATGCCCATCCTACCTCCCGGACACCCCAGCCATAGAATGTCCCCATGGCTTTCTGTCACAGCCTCCCCAGGGGAAAAGCCACAACTGAGGTGGGTGAGAGCTGGGTGTCCATCCTCAGGACAGACCCAAAGTGGCTCTCCATCACACAACACTGGATGATGGATGCACCAGGGGTTGCCTATGAGGAGGAGTGTGCCAAGGAGGTGTTCACTCAGAAGAGGACCTTCCCATCTGCCTTGCCCAGGGCTGGATGGGCTATGAGCTGGAGGAGGTTATCTCAGACTCCATCAGTGTAAGAGTTGAACATGATTCCAAAGGAAAACAAAAACACTCCCCCC